GTTCGACGGCCGTGACAAAAATACACTAGAAGTTGGAGGTGGTAGAATTGGCTCGGGGACGACGGACCGAGGCGGGAATACGAATGACATTGCGGGGGAGAGGAGTATGGGGAGAAGAGGAGGGACCGGCGACTGGTTGAGAAGAAGTCAATCCGGTTGGATCAGCAGCAGAGGTGAGATGATCCAAGGTTTCAGAAGGAGAGGGAGGGGTGTAGTTGGAAGGAATGAGATGAAGAGATTTGTAGAGGCCCAGATGTACTGGGGGAAGAGGAAGAAGGAGAGAGGAAAAGAGGTGGATGTAAGCGGAGAGTTGGGTGAGAGAAGAGGATTGATCCTGGGAGGAAAGGGATCGATATCGGGCCGAGACAGCACAGAGTTCGTGCTCCAGGACGAAGGTAACCTTGGAAGTAACAGTCTGGGCTCCGACAGTAATACCCTTTACATCAACATCGACCAAGTTCGAAGGAAGAAGATAGATACCTCGCGAAATTTGGACTCGGGATTGTTGGTTTTCACCGAACACTTTGAAGTTCCCTTCGCGGAGCACTCTCCACAAACACCACCAACTAAGTTGCATCAATATCGAACAGGAAGAGTAGGAAGACTCACGAGGACCGATACAACCTACACGAAAATCTTCTCCACCATCGAGACGACGCTGGCAATCGGAGCAAAGCTCACCCTCGAGACGGACAACAGCGCCATTCTTGTTACGAAGTCGCCAACCTTGGGCCAAGCGATCAAGCTAACAGTTAGAATTCGGTGGAATACGAAGGAGAAAAAGCTCACGGCGTTACCAAACCACTTGACAGTGGGCTTGATGGCCCCAGTCTCGCGAAAGCGATCGAGGGCTTCATCCTTCAGAGCGTGACGAACAGAGGAGAAAGAAAGGCGGGCCCAGAGGGTAGCTGACGAGTCAGAAACGCACAGAATTCTGTAGAAATCTCACCAATTTCCGAGTCTTTTCGAGCATCCAGAGCCTTAGCAAGTTCATCATTGACCGGAACCTTGCGAGGGGCGTGAAAAATGGTTTCGAGTTCATGGGGAACCTCGACAAGCCCCTCGGAATCAGAAGGTGGCACAGGGGACTTATTACCAGGAGAATTTTGATTTTCAACGATGGTACCGTGTTCGGACTCGACAGATTTCGCAGGAGATGGGTTCTCACCAGTGGTAGATGGCCCTGCCCCCGCTTCGAAGTCGATATATTGCTCGATGACCTCGTCATCGAGAAGAGACGATTGTTGGTCGCGAGAAGGGCCGGATTGATATCGATCCTTAATGGTGTCGAGAGCCCTTCGAGAAGCGTCAACCAATGGAGTTTGAGAGGGAACTGGCGCTTGGGAAGTAATTCTCATTCTTTTCGTTTGACGCATGAGAAGTTCGGGATCGACGTCGGGGAGAATGGCCACAGTAGAGGCCCGAGTTTGACGAGAAGAGATAGACGAGGACAACTAATCTCGTCAGCCAGTGATAAACAGGAGGAAGTGCATCGAATTCGAAGAGAATTGCTTACAGTACGCTTAGACATGCTCACAGACAGGTCAGAGTTGGAAGGATGCTCTAAGATATGAGTAAGATATGGATGGATAATGACAGATAAGTAAAAAGAATGACAAACAAGAGGTAAAGAGAGAATGAGGAGGAAAGAAGAGAAAAAAGACGGGGAGGTAACTTGGTCAGTAATTTCTCGATCACATTGGAGGTCCGTGCGGGTGACGCGTTTTCATGGCAACCATCACACTAGCGTGGGTATGATGTCAGGGCGCACCAAAGGTGTCTAAGAACAATCCATGTGCATCACCTGGTTACAGGGTTCAGGATCCTCGGCGAGGATCCTTGAGACAGGGGGGGAAACTTGTTACGGGGTAACAACGAATCGAGGGAACTCTATCGAGTTCGACGGATTAGGACAGAGGAAAGCGGGAGTTGGAGGCAGTGCTGCAGTAGGTAGGGACGGGTTTTCCCCTTTCGAGATTTTCCCCACTGGGTTTGCTCAAAGCGGTTTTTCACCTGTCCGAGTATGTACATGGACGCTTGCAGAGGACTGAGAAGAGGAGACGGATACCTGTAGACAGTATATAGTACAATCAGCAAAGTACCAACTTTGCTGATTCTTCAATATCATTCTTTGGCTACATCGATTGCAGAGGAGACACGATCCATTAGCACCAGAGCCCCTAGACTTCCACGAGACCTCCATCGAGTTCGACCCAACCTGCGACCTAGTCGTCGTGTTTCCAGTACCGTTACAACGTAAGATAGACTGTAATATAGGCGGAAAAAGGAGTGGACTGCTAAGACCGTTTTGTATTAACGCAATTCCATTCAAGACGGCTTGAATTTGCTCGTTATTTTGTCTTTGGCTTTTATTTACTTCTTCAATGCGTGAAACCATATCATGTGACGTTTGTTGTTGTGCTTGAGCTTGAGTTTGTAGAATGTCGTGTAAAATTGGCAAAGCTTGAGCAATACGATCATCATATTTGTTTTCATTGGCAATCGTTCTAGTAATCGCTTGTTCCTCAAAGGATAAGAACTCTTCGTCTTTGAAAAGAGGATGATTAAAAATGTAAAGCGATGGAAACCATTTGCGAACGTGTACAATATCTTGTAGAAATGATTCACGGAGATGACCCATTGTTTGAAGAAACATTCGACTAGTAAGCTCTTCTTCCGGACGTACGCTAGAATCGAGAATTCCTATCCTTTGAGAGTCAGCAAGAGCACAAAATAGCAAAATTTAGCAAATTTTAGCACAAACTAGCAAGAGTGGGAATCAAATCGCGATTTAAGCTCACCATTTCTCAATTTCAGGAAAAACTTTGCGTAGAAGGGTTGCAGGAGGCGAAATATCTCTCGAAAGAAAGAAACTATTGCCCTCAATAGAAAAACCAGCAAGAGCTCGCACCGGTCGACGAGGAATATGCGTTAAATAGTGATTTTCTAGAACCGAATGTGCCCAATGTCCGGCTCTTGCAATTTCCTCTGATGTTGCACCCCCTTGTTCGGCTAAACGAGCACCAAAACGTCTATTTATATGTGTTTTTTGATATGTGTGAACGTTGGCGGCATGTAGCGCATCACTAACTGCTCTTCGTTGAGTATCGTATGAAATCGGTTTTGTTCGTAATTTACCATCACATAATAGTGGTAAATCGTACCATTTAGCTCTTGCTGACATATCTGGAAATCCGGCGGGTGAAGAGCCACAATAAAAGCTAGAATTTAGTATATATCGAGAACTTGGGTTTAAATACGGCTTACCGTGCAAATAAGTAAAGACTTAAGTGGAAGACAGGACATATTCTTAAATCTTTATTTCTGATAAACGCAGTGTACTGAGGTTTACCGGAGGAGTTTGTTTTGCTTGATTGTATGACCAATACAACGAATAAACAAGACGTCGGGCCTTCTCTGCTAGAAATTTCAGAGGATATGTCCGATAAGAGTAAACTGCGCTGGTTATCACCTCTTAACATGCCAAATATTCCTAATGATTGCGCTAAAGCATCTCTGATACCCTCTTCGTTATTTCGAGCCATGTAATGCTCAAAAGAACGTTTTAATTGCGTTGTACTTTCATAGCCATCATAATAAAGCTCTACTTATCAATGCTGACCGTTTTATAAGCAAAATATGTGCACTTACGTTTTCCTTTGTCGGCGAACATTAATCTCTTTCTACGTTGGTCAAATTTGATTAATATGTTCACAATTGTCATAACGTAGATGCTACGGGGCGAAGAAGTCTTGTTGATTCCTCTTTTTGATTGTTGTTGCCAGAGATTAACAAGAGCAGCGACCCATGATAGAATAGTGCTAGGACTAATTGTACAATTTAAGATAACGTCTAAAGCTTTGACTATTAGCTATTTACTGTTCTAGAATCAGTGATATTTACCTGATTTGGCTATATTTTTGGATGAAGACGGAACTGTTTTCAAAAGCATGTCGATTTCTGCTTGAGTTTGATGTAAAATTCGTTTTTCATCATCATTTGAGACTTCCTCGAGGCGTTCCTCTACCGTGAGTTCTTCTGGTTCGATTTCCGCTTCATCTAGCATGTTGTTGTCGATTTCAGCAGCAGAAAGTACATGTTTTTGTTTTTTGCCTTTTCCTTGCAAAACAACCTCATATAAAAACAACAACGCATGTTGAGGAGTAACAATGTCGCTATAGATCAGCTGACGTCCTTTAATTGTTTACAAAGGCACCTCCTTTCTCCATCAAACACAAGTCCGCTCAAAATAGCACAATTGAGCAAGAATTTGCAGGAATTAGCGAATTTGAGCAGGAAAGAGTCCTTTACTCACCGTTCAAAGAAGTTTTGCTTATCAGCCCACTCTTTCCACCTTTGTTGTCGAGGTCTGTATTGTTTTCGACTGTTGGAAGACAAAATAAACTCTCCTAGCTCCACTGTTTCGTCTATAACATGTTGTGCTTGAGGATTGTTATAAGGGTGAGTTATTTCTGAATGTGGGTTACTTTTAAGATGACGAGGCATAGTGATACTTGAATATAGAGACTTCAGCAAAGGATTAAGATTGAACGAAAAGAAGAACTACTTCAAGAGAAGTTGTATCATTGACTGCTTGGAAAAGATTACTAATGCATTAAGAAAACAATGTCGTATAACTAAAGGGCAATTGGCAGTATAACTTCAATTATACGACATAGCTCTTCTAATTGAATTAGGAAATGCAGGCGGACTCATTAGGACGCAGATTATCAAAAGCGGGACAATTGCCACTTTGGGGAATTTTGGGCGGACCGAGCCCGTCCGGGCGGAAGCAAAGTTTGGCTGGGACGCGCGGACGGACGCGGACGGGTCCGCCATATAATGAACAGCATCAGAAACACTTGTCCACCATTTTGTTTGTGGTGCGCTTGACCAGTTCATGATGATCTCGTCCTAAGATTCGACACTGACGCTAACTCGAGGGTCAGATGTAGGACTTGAGAGAAAGAGAGTGTGTGTTTCAAGGTAGTCGTAACATTTCAATCCCGCTTGGCTCTTCGTACCATTTCCCTTCTTTTCATTCCCGCTTCCACCCCTATACCCGCGAACACCACCCCCACGCCTAACCATTGACCCCACGCTAAACGATGATGAAATACGACAACACTTAGGAGCATGGTGAATAATTTTCGAGTGACGGTGAGCATTACCAGAGTGAGGGAACCGAAATGCTGGATTGTTTCAAAGATGAATAGTTGACCTAGACCTCCTAGTAAGGCATAGGCGAGGAGGGGAGGGAGGGAAGTAGGGTGAGAATGAAGGAAACGGAGACAAGATAGTATGGCGGGAGGAGATAATGTGAAGGATGGAGAGAGGTGGTGACTAGATAACGGAGGGAGGTGATGAAGGATTGAAGAGGGGATAAAGTGTAAAAGAGAGGATGGATGCGAAGGGAACGGCAATAGGAGAGGGGGAAGAAGAAGGATTTGAGAGAAGAGGGACATGTGTAACATCATCTGTTGACCCGTCAAGGGGTAGGAAGAGAATATTTGATCTTGGGTCGAGTTGGTAATTCCGTCGATGAGCAAGCTGCGGTCAGTATCCGATCTGAAGAGGCAGAGCAAGGGGTTCTGATATGATGACTGAGTTCTTGGATAACGACGAGGTGGAGGACGACCACCCACTTGATCAATAACAAAGCCAACCCCCAGATACTATCCCCACTATGCCTACCTTTCCCCTTTGAAGGAGCAAGCAACATGAACATGCTAATTCCCACAGTGACCAATCCTACTACCACGTATTTATGAGCGGAGAACCGACGGCGGTAAAGGATGACATTTAGGAGCATGACTGGGATGAGTTTACAAGACTAGCTATCAGCTTACAAGTTACATGAGTACCAATCGAGAGGAAAGCAATGACGCATTCCCCGATGAATAGAAGGACTTGGGCAAGACGATATGATGTTTTTGACCAGACTAGATATCATGATGAACAGGAGAGTGCTCACCTTGCCAAGTACCATAGTAGGATAAGAAATATGTCTTAAAGCCATGAATCCAATAGGACCAGCTAAAGTTTGACAAATTGATACTTGTAATAAGAGTCTCATTAAAGTCTTTCTCCCTTGTCCAAGTTCGTTTATTCTTCTCTGAGATAATTTCCCTGGCTCTGTCTTCTCTTGTTGGACCCCATTGGATGGCTCAACCTGAGATCCAAAGTCCCCATTTTCTTTGCGTGAAGTCACTGTGTTCTTTTCATCAAGTTCTTTCGTCCCGCTCGTCGCACTGTGTCCATTCGTAAGATGTAAGGCTCGGGTGGGAGTAGCACTTGAAGACCCATATTGAGGAAAGTTGAACAACAGGTCGAATCCAAGAATTTCCATGAGACTTTTCTTTTGCAAATCTCCTCTATTCAAAGCACCAAAAAGAAGATATAGGCACGCAGAAAGGGAAGAAGCGACGGCCTGAGCGAAGTTTAAGAACAAAGGTGAGGGGAATATATCTGGATCGGATTGGGTTTTGGGGGTGGGGAGGGTGGAGGGGAATGGGGATGACACTGATTGTCAGTAACTCAGATATGATTCCAGATGACTCATCATATTCAAGTACGAAAGAGACATACAGCTGTGGGGAAAGAGTTGAACACAGTGAAAGTGCCAGAAAGAGGTGTGAAAAGTTTGAGGGTAAAATGGAGGAGGAGTCCAGAAAAAACTCACGTCGTTCTTGTGCGATGGCCCATAATAAGAAGGCAGCGTATACTCCAGTGATACAAACAACAAGTCTGAGTAAACCCATGACCAGAGTCGTTTGGGATAGAAAGTGGGTTGGAGGAAAGATTTCAGTCGCGTAGACAAGGTGACACGTGGCGTGGCGGTGGCGATCGAAATGGTGAGCTCGTCGGATCTGATGGCGATGAGTATCTTCTTCGGTGGAGATGATATTACCTGGGGGAGGGGAGATGACTCGAGCGCCAAAGAAGTAACCGAGCCAATGAAGATGGTGATGAAGATACATATGCAAAATGCTACAAGTACATAGATCGAGGCGGAATGTACTCCTACCCCTAGGCGAAGTATTTACGCAACTGACTATGCCTTTCACCCCCCGTCTTACCTTGCGTCCCGTTGAGCTTATCGCTTGTCTCCTAGCTTCTTCTCGGATATGACGCCAATAAAATCTCTTCCCTGTGTTCTCTGCGACACGACTTCAACCCCTTCTCCATTTTTTGGACCTTTCCCAGCGGTCTCCTCAATCTTCCGTCCATCCTTCGTCTCCGTGTCCTCGGGAGATGTAGTAGGCATATCCACCACTGGACCTAAATCTACCCTGCCCTCTTCCACCTGACCATTAATATCAAAGACACCAAGTCCTAAATCCTAAGGCATCAGCTATTATTTTGACCAAAACAAGGCGGAACTGACCATTTCAATCACCCGTGTCTCTCCTTGAACATCTTCCAGGTTCCCATATGTCGGATCGGACCGTTGAGCTTTGAGGAGTGAAGCGTTGGATTTTTGTAGTAGCGGTAGGAATGCTTTGGCCCTGGCAAGGGCTGTAGATCAGCTGAGAGTCCGACCTTGTAAATCATCTGTCAGTGTGGTGATGGGTTCGGCTCGCTGAATGTGAAAGTGTATGACGAGAATAACGCACCATCGCTGGGCGGCAATGGACCTATTTCCACCTCTCTCTTCGTCGAAGTCGAGTCCGTCTTGGATAAACTCGCGAATAAACCCCCTGATTGTCAGCTGGAAAGAAGATGATGATCACAGATGACGCACCTAACCGCTCTTCTCTAGCTTCTACATCCTCCACATCTAGCTTCTGTCTCTTTGGTCTTGGTGGCTCTGCGGGTGTCATCTTTGAGAGGGAAGGATATTTGAAGTTTGAACAAGGCTAGCTTGAAGATAAACACGTGACCTTATGCCACGTGGCACGATGCCAGGTCTTGAGGGCGTCAAAGTTAACCGAATGAAGATACTGTAGCAAAAAGGATAGTTATCTTTGCATCACTCTCTCATCTGCCAACAGTCTCTGTAGCACTATAGCGCATAGCTTGTGCCACAGCCCCTCTCTCCTCTCCTCTCCTTCTCGGGTTTCGCGGTAGGCTTTACGGGGAGACAGCTCCTCTCGGTGCTGTGGAGCAACACCATCAATAGGGTGTCCCCTCCATCAGAGACTTTTCTCTCATCACTTCACCTTCACCTCATCACGGGGGCCATAGGACATACTTCAACTTCAACTCTCACCATGTTCCGTCTCCGTGCTTCCCGCGCTACACTCTTCCTCTCTTTCCTCTTAGTCCTAGCTGCCTCTCTCATCTTCCTCTCACCTCACGGTCATCTAACACCATCTCACGATGACCCCGCTCATCCGCCCTTCGACCTCGGTCTTTCCGGTCAGAACTCATGGTTAAACTTCATCTCCCAATCCTCGAGTGCCCTGTTTCAGAGCGTGGCGGATCTACCGGGGCTGCAATACGGTACTGATGGTTTGGTCAGAGGGTGGGAGGACGTACATGAACTGGTTGAACATGGAGGGGTGGGGTTGAAGAAGAAGGATAGGAAGAGATTGAAAGAAGTTAGGGATAGACATCCTATTGAAACTTTGATAGAGCTTGGGAAACAAAGATGGGAAACTCTGCTGGCTAGGTGAGTGTTCAATTCGTCCTTTTTCCCAGTAACCTCATACAACTTACCAGCTATTCCCCCCCCCCCCAAACTTGCCGGACGGACCCCAAAATTTCCATCAAATTTGTCCTCGGTTACTCACCGTAAAGTCTCCTTTTGGGTATACTGTAATATGTCATGACTGTCTGCCCCTTCAGCATCAATCCAAGCGCATCATCACACTCGGTCATCATCCTTCTCATTCCTCAACCCCCACTCCATACCGTTCCATTGTACGCCCAGATGAAGTGAGGACAACCACCTGACATGCAGACAAAGCAAAACCCTCCCTCAAGCAGTGACAGAATATACCAGACGCTATAATCGTGCACCTCCTAAAGGTTTTGAGGAATGGTGGCAGTTCTGTAAACGGAACAAAGTCCGTATAGTCGATGATGTGAGTTCGTCTTCTGGCAGCTCTGTGTGGGAGCTGATGGTTAGTATGATCAGATCAATCGGGATATAGAGCCTTTCCTAGCATTGTCGCCAGAGCTGTTCAGGAGACGAGTACATTCGTTGAGCGAGACGAAGTGGACTTAGTGAGCTGCCCCTGTCGAATCCCCCTTGCCCCATTCTGCTTATTTATCAAGACACTTGATGATCTCAATACCCCTTCACGGCCACTCCCTGTCTCCGCTTCTGACATTGTCACTCTATATATATGCTTGCTCTATGTTTGACATCACATGAAAGTGAACGTTGGACTTAGCTGATTATCCGCCGCGTGGACCTCTCCCCAACAACCGAATCTATTCTCTCGGGCGAACGTGCGGTCTCCGTCCGTGCCAAAGCTCTTTTCAATCTGCTTGAACCTATCGCCCAATACTTCTACACTGATGTCACTTTCTATGGCTCAGATCATGATATGGGCAAAAACCTTTTGGGTGACGATCAAAGGCAAGCTGCTCTCGAGGCAGTGAGAGAGGGTCGATTTCTGACGGAGATGGATTTGAAGGGATATGAAAAGACGCAAGGGAGAGTAGCAGTGGGTGGTCTGGCTAGTGCCTGTCCGGAAGGAAGTCCGGCTTGGAATAGGAGTTTAGATATCCAGGAGGGGAGGATGGTGGGGCCTTTGACAGAGAGGGGTGAGTTGGAAATTTCGCCTCCACTTTCTTCCTTCCTCGCGTCGTTCGTGACAGACATACACTCCTTCATCGTTCCAAGTTCTTCAACAACAACGATTTCCTCTTCAGTCACTCGCTCCCAGTGGATGGTGATGTTGGGAGGATAATGCCATAACGCATTTTTGAGGTGAAGAATTGGAAGGCAGCTGAGATTCAGAAACGACATTCATATATGACCATCAAACGGCTTCTGACTTTTGTGTCCATCCCCGTCTTACTCATCTTCACGGAGCTCTGTCTTTCGATACACCTCGTGATACCGTTCTCCGACCATTATTCCAATATTCCAAACTTAGTCTCAATCCCGAATTCCTCACCACCCCCTTGGAGGCCTTTGCAAATCTCTCTTCGTCCGCGGCTCAGGAGAAGTACTCGCCATGGGAAGAAAAAACAGTGAACAAGTTGTTTTGGCGTGGGAGTGGTACGGGTGATGCATATAGTAAGAGGAAGAATTACAACTGGAGACAGAGTCATAGGACTCGATTAGCTTTGATGGCTCAACGACGAGATGGTGATGAGGAAGTTTGGGTGAAAAGAGGGAGGGAGTGGGAAAAAGAGAAATGGGGTGTGGGGAAATTGAATGAAGCTTATTTGGATGTCGGAATGTCGGGAAAACCACATCAGGTGAGTTTTGCTCTCACATTATGTTTACTCCTTCTGGATCGTTTTACTTGAGAACCCTCTTTTCTCTTTTCCTTTGTCGAAGTAAAAACTAAACTTCAATCGTACGGTGCCTGTTGGATATAAGAGGAAGTCTGATCTTGTGGGAGAGAAAATATGTCAGCTGACATCTCAGTGTAAGCAAGAAGATGGAACATGCGACGAGATGGCCTCAGAGATCAAGTTTCTCGATCGGGTTCCTCAAGAGAAAGCAGCGCAGTATAAATGTAAGTTATTGATTTTCTACTCTCTTTTTCAATCTAGCACGTGGAACTCTTCCCTTTGACCATTTGGAATCCACACATCCTGTAGGGTCAATAGTGAAGTATATCATCGTCGTTCGGCCCAGCAGGTCGTGAGATTGCAGAGCATGGGTCAATTTACTAATGAATAGACGTCTTCGATGTCGATGGTAATGGCTGGTCATCCCGTTTTCATCGTCTTCTATCCTCAGGAAGTGTTGTTTTGAAATCGACTATATATCCAGAGTGGTACTCTGATTGGATGATACCGTGGTATCATTACATTGTAAGTGAAGTCATCCCCATATCACATGCGTATTTTCTGTGTTTTCACCATCCACATCTACCTTTTACTCTGACCATCTATCTGTCTACTCAACTGAGACTCTATGCTACTCCTTGTTGAGATTATATCTCGATGATTCCCGTCCTTCTGATCCGCTCAGATGTTGTGTTGCCCTTCGATCATTGTCATGTTGCAAGTATGGACCAATCGCTTACATTCAGCCATGCAAAGTTGATTATTCCGATATATACCACATCATGTCTTTCTTTTCTGGTTCACCAGAGGGTCGTGTAGCTGGACGTGATGATCTAGCCCGAGAAATAGCGATGCACGGGAGAGAGTTTACAGAGGAATTTTGGAGATGGGAAGATATGCAAGCTTACATGTTTCGATTGTTACTAGAGTGGGTGTCTTTCTGTAATTGTTTTTTCACCTCTCTCCTCTTTCAATACTCGTTACGTCCTTGTCTCTGTTCTACACCGTTCTCATGTCTTGTAATCTCGATCTGTTCGTCAAAATATATCCTTGCTGATTGACAGATACGCCCGATTAACAGCTCCAGATCGACAAACCGCTTCATATCATAAATCCTACACTTGACGACCTTCCTTAGCTTCTGGTAACAATCTCGGTTTAAAAAGGTATCTTGAATAGATCAGACATACATATTAGCATATGCATTGATATTATATATATATATATATCTGTGTTCCATCATGGTCTAATACTTTCTTGATCCCTTCCTTCATTCGCATTCCCGACTTCCTTCATAAGTTAGTACTGGATACAAGAAAATGATATCATAGATCTCCCCGTATCCGCTTCACCCCACTCCGAACATTGTCCACACTACCAAATACCAAACCTCTGAACAAAAACCGTACATCTACATCTACATTTTCGTCGTCAAATACATGATAGGAGAAACGTCGATGAAGATAATTTAGATGTCTGGGAGTGTAATTGAAGAAAGATATCCAGAAAACCGCGGTGATGATGAGAATGAGTATGTCTAAATGGTTTAGCTATCATCTTGTGACTTGTCAGATATTAGGTTAATCAGAGGCCAGGAGAAAAAAAGTTGATACTTTCAGATGGTCAGAGGAGATGATACTGCATGCACTGCAGAAGGAGGGGGGGCCGGGGGGGGGGGGGGGGGGGGGGGGGGGGCGAAAAAAACC